CTTTGTAGAAAACGAAGCGTTTGAGAGAGGCGGGGCATAGAGGACCTACAGTAATGTACAGTATTTGAAAAATAATGTGTTTTTTGAACATTAAAGCATGTCAACATATTCTGTTACACCAAATACACAAAATAATGATCTTTAAAAAAGCATCATATGACCCCTTTAACTAACAAAAAAAAGTCCCTAAAACTCAAACAATAATATTCAATTACAAACATTTGCCCAAAATATATTAATTCTATATTGTAAAAAAACATCACAACAGTAGATTGCATAATATTCTTTTAAAAGCAATGCAGGTCATGAAAACACTCGAACCGTTGCCGGAATCTTCAAAAGTATTCAATAAAAATATTTTAAGTCACAACTTTTAAAAACATTACTTTGGCAAAAAAGGATTTACACACTAGTAATGTAAGTGATCACACAGATTTGAGAACAAAATTACATATATATATATATATATATACACCCACACACACAATTTCAAATCAAAGCAATGAAGACACAAATGCTGTGCATTTTTGCCATTATGTCTTGATTTGTGGTCGAGTTTCTCTGCATTCACATATTCGGCTAAACCTCACCCACTTTCTACGTTTTGATACTAAAATGCTTCAGGGCATTTAATAAATTTTCATATATACTAAACTTCAGTTTCAACTTTTCAAGCTTGTCCTTTGTCTCTGGACAAAGACACACATTGACTTTAGATAAGGAGTGGGGTGAGTCACAGAAAGATCAGGTTTCACATAGTTCAAGGCGGACGAAAATAAAACCTGAAAACATACTGGGAAAATGTCGGACAGGCCCAATCATATGCTTACAGTTGCCAGCAAGCTCTTCACAAAATGCGTGAATTCTATCAGGCACTGTTATGGACAGTCTGTGTTTCGGGTCCTGATGATATCAAATTTATCGGCTAACAGACAGACAGGACAGTGTGCAGCCAGAGGACCTCTAAAATAATGTAATGTGTGTATATGTAAAAGTAACCCTGAGTATGGTGTACGCCTTGCCACAACGGCACAATTCCTCACGGTTAATTTTACACGCTGGAAATAACATAACAACAACGACTTAAAAACGACTAATATATATATATATATATATATATATATAGTTTTCGATATGTGCTATCCGCAGTAACGTGAGCGAATCTTCGGTTGCCTTCTCTTCCTTGTCGTTTCCACTCACTTGTTGAAATAAAAATGGAGGCTAAAAAAGGAAAGGCGAGTTCCCCTTAGAAATACCACCCATTTCTCATGGATGGAGTTGGGGGTTGGTTGATGGGGGAGGCGGAGGTGAAGAATGAGAAAAGCAAGTCACGGTTCTCGGGGTTCGCATTATTTTCGCTTCCAAAAGAAAACACACAGACCAGATCAAGAAATTATAAACACATCATAAAGTTGTCTCATAGTCAACAAGATTTAAGCAGTCTAAATAAAAAAAATAGAGATACGCATATCAAACCGAGAGCACTGCTCAACAGGATATCTGCTTATCCCGACAAAACTATCTTATTTTAGAACAGACAAAAAATATATACCCACTTTGTAAGTCTAACAAAGTGCCTCCATATAGTTAAGCGAAGGCAAAAAATAAAGTTAAGCACCTTAATACATCATTCCCCATGTTCTCTGAAAAAAAATTGTTGATATAATGCGATTCTGACAAGCACGGATGTTGTAAATAAAAACTCTGCCATGTCTGTTTTCACATAGAAACTTGATTAACACAAGAACAAGTCAACTAACACTAAACACAGTTTCTGCCCACAGCCCTTATCAATCGTTTCTTCTATTATTTTCAAATTAAGATCCATGGCAAAGAACGATTAAGCATTTTAATGCATTACTTTAAACCGTACTAGCTTTTAAAACAGCCTCTCTCGGCTAAGCTAACGGCTAACTAAAATGATACCTTTGCTCACTTTGATAGATAATTAATTATGCTGAGTGGCACGGATGATATGAACGTGATATATGTGCAAAAGATAAGACAGACACCATAATAGCAGGTCGGTCACTGAATGTTTACAGCAAAAAAGCAGTTCTTAGCACGAGGTTCTTGGCAAAGTGTGATTGTGATTATGGCTAACGTACATCAAGCTAACATGCAGATCAACCAACACGGTGTTACATCATTAAAATAATTTTATTTGATTCATTAACGTGACAGCAGAAACAATCAACCAAGAACAGTCGAAACAGAAAAGCTACAATGCGTGTTGATAAACAAGAGCTGACAAACTGAGCTCCCAACTTCTGCATCAACTTTAACGTTACCTAGTTCATAAAAAAACATAAGCTATTGCCATCAAAACCTTCAAGGAAATAACAAAATACCTTACCTACAGCGTCCTTCCAGCGTAATTGAAACTCAAATGCCTATTAAAGGTGTTTAGTGTTTTGAAAAAATCCAACATCAATGCGAGGCAGAACAGCAGGCCTTCTCTTGCAACCTCGGTGTTTCCTGTGAACTGTAAACCGCTAGGCTCTCGGGCTATCTTCCAAACTTCTCAGTGTCCCTTACGCAAGAGTTGAAAGTTTCACATTTTCTCCCATTTAAGACATTGTGCGGTCTTCAGATGTTCACGTTGAGTTGTCTAAGAATAAATCAATATACAATGTTATTTTACAAAATTATAGTCGGTATTTATATGGGTATATGTACACCACTTGGTGATTCAAGACTGTGATTCAATCTCATGTCCTTTACATTTGCAGTATTGCCCATCCCCCTCTCTACACCGGCATCGACCGCGGCTCCCAGCGAAGCCTACACACAACCATAATACAGGGTTTCCTCCACAGCGGAGCAGGAGTTCTTCTTCTGTGAGTTTATTGGCGGGTTGCAAACCGGAGCAGGGGTTCATTAGGAGGGCGGACTTTTAGCTCTAGCTCGCGCCCTCTGGTATGCTATAGGGTAGAAATGTGTCAATCGCTGTAACAAACAGTAACGCGCATACGCCGTTGGATCATCGCGGAGCTTGCTGTTGTCGTAGACAGAAAAGAGGCAGAGCCTTGTTTTTTCGGAGGTGGTTCACTTCTCCAGTCAGTATTTTGCAGCGTGAGATGGCGTTGAGAGGGCTGCAGTAGTGTAAGTATCGAAGACTAGCTGCTAGTTAAAATGGATAATCTCAAAAGAAGGGACCGAGGATTTGGGGAAAGATGCTGTGCTACTAAATACACACGCCGTGGAGTTCAATGGTCTTTCATAGAAGAAATTATTTTTTTATTTTATCCGTGTAAAAGGGAATAACAGTGTTCTGTTATACAGCTGTAGCTGCACGGGGTCTCCTGGGCGCTATCGCAGGGAGCGCGATACTAGAACGTCAACAATACTGTGAGGAATATATGAGGGATCCAGGATTGGACTGAACGTTTGATTTGATGCAGGATTTCATTCTGTACAAAATATTAACCAAGTTGGTGAACTGTGGTTCTTGATTTTAAAAAGAGGAAGACAAGGGAGACCAAACATGGGCCAAAATAATAAGCCACGCTAAGACCATTAACGTTAACTTAAATCACTCTTACCGTAAAGGATTTAAATGCGATTTTTCGTTGCCTTTTTATTATTAAGTCAGACGATAAAACGTTTATTTTAAGAATAATTGCCTAAGGATTATTGAAAAATGTACACTTGACGTGGTAATGCCAGGATAGTATATTCTAGAACTAACAAAGGAACGCTTAAGCCGTTTCTGTGTCGTTATTGAACAGAGAACGCTTGTGATACTTGCCCGCCCTCGGCGGTGTTGAACAGCGACTCTACGAAAGCGTACTTACATTACTCAGTGTTAATAGCAAAACCCCCACGGCTGACCAGATAACATAATTTATCCGTAGTCTTAGCTCATTTTAAGGCCGTCGTGTTTCAATATTAATAAAATGCCGTCGTATTCACCGACTTGTGTGTGTTCTGGTGACCAGAATTTGCAAAATGACACATGAAAGTACATTTACCTTTATAGCTTTGGAGTAGATTTGATATACACACAGGCATATATATATATATGTGAATGAATTGATAATGTAATTTAACTGCATGCGCCCCCGGCTGAATTATGCGGCTGCGCGCGCAACTGAAGAGGGCGGACATCCGTACGTGTGCTATTCAGGATGTAAAATACATTTATATTAATATATTTGATAATATTGTAAGTGTTATGTACGTGTATTCGTCTATATACATATGAATGCATATTCATTATGTACGTGTTTTGCTATTATAACATCAGAATTAGATAATTTGTTCGTTTTTTTTATTAGTACTGTGTGTTTGAAATACTTTTTTATTTGATAGGTAATTTTCTAAATTCCTAAGTTCTATCTAAAAGTGCAAATCAGTACAAAAAGAAGACAACTTAACAGGGCATCAACTGACATTACATGTCTCTGTCTTTTCATTTTTACTTTAACTAAAAGTAACTCAAATGTATTAGTGGTTTAACCGCCATGTCTGTCTGGGACAGAGAGCCTGTGTCCAAACGCTCTTTTTGGTGAAGCTTATATTGTAATAAAGTAATGAATCGTTATTATATATCTTTGAAGCTATTAAAATCAAATGAGCGAATATACTGACTGTATTACATGTCAAGCTCGTCTATGTACAAGGGTTCCAATACCCCAAAACACATTTTTTTAGATGTTGCATATTAAAAACAGTTCAATCACATTAGTTTGAATAGGCAGAAAGTGTTTGTTGGGTTTTATTATATTTTGAGCCATTTAAAACGTTTAAGCAATGTACAAACGTTTACACAATAGTGTAAAATTTGAATGGCCAGTAGTATAAGGCTATAAGTATATGCTACAAGTTTGTTTAGTTGTCACTAGTTCTTTCTATTACTGTTGCTACATTGTCATTTTTTGTCCAAATAAAAATGAAGTGAATTCAATTTGAGCCTGCATTCATCGTCCACACTCACAGACAAAATTCTAGCATAAAAATAGGTTACACTACAACATATCCACCTGTAGAAAAGTCAAAGTAAAAATCACTATCTAACAAACATTAATCTACAATGTCACGATTACTAACTGAAAATGTCGCAAAGTTGTGGCAATTTCACTTTTATATGGATGTTACAACATAACTGCAACATTTTGGTTATCAGATTATGTTGCATTTACGTAAGTTACATATGGCTAGCTGAGTGAACTTTCTGAGGGATAGTGATGATAGTTTCCTGTGTTTATGAATGTCTGTGTGTGCAAATAGACTCATTTGATATGCCAAACGCCTGGCCTTGACTGTAGATGAGAGTAGGCAGCTGCAGTCAATGGAGGAACAATTAAAAAAGCTGTCAATCTGGACAACTCATTTATCATAATAGACTTAACATTTTATATAATCAAAGGAAATTGTAGTAGCATTATTTTTTTAAATGGATGCATTTAAAATAAACCAATCTCAATGTTTGCAGTCATCTCAGTTTTATGCACATTAAATGGTGGCAGAAAGCCAGTTTAATGTTGCTGTTCTAAACAAGAGACATGATTTCTGTAATAGTGTACCACATAGTGTGACAGGAAGTCACATCCCGTGTCCGAATATGCCTACCTCTCTGCAGTACGTGAAACAAGTAATATGTCAAAATTCACAGTAACAGTAGGCGAAAAGTACCCGGATAACTTACTACTTCCGCAGAGATTCTGAAGAGGGTATAAAATGAACACCTTACTATTCCATGATGTAACAGGACAGGAATCGTAAATGACAAGGAAGTGACACAAATTACTTTGTCCAGAAGTGAAGCTACACACAGGCTGATTTTATCATCACAAAGGGATTGGGTACATTTAATTGTAAACAATAAAAAATATTCCCACAATAAAAAAAAGAAGAAACATGTTATACATTATACTTTGACAATAGCTATTTGATTTCACAATCATCAAAACACTGGGTTCTACAGGCACATCAAGTATAACACTTACATGTGAGTATACTTTTTTTTTTTTTACATTGCTATTTAGCTATATAATTTAATCTCTTTGAGGAAGTTTTTTTTATTTTTTTTTAGCTCTATAGAAATTCAGGGACTGGATAATATCTATTAGTTGTCTTCTAACATAACTTAAGAGCTTTAAAATGCAATTATTTAAACATATCTGTTGTGTTAAACTACTGTATGTAGGTGTTTTTCCACAGATTTCACTCAGTAATTTTTCCTTCATTAAAAAGTTGTACAAAATAAATTAATTGTAATATTAAAAAAAAAAAAAATGTTTAAAATAACACCTATATGAGATGAAGAGTAATTTCAGTGGCTTAATAAAAGTCACCTCAAGTGGGTTGCATTAGCAGTCAATTTATACTAATTTTATCTCATTAATTCACCTCCTACCCCATTTTGATTTTGAGTAATAAATAAATCATGGCTTACTGTGCATTTCTACAATAGTGTATTGATAGGAATGTGTGATACAAGCAAAAATGTAACATTATTATACACAAACATACATCACAATATATAGTTTTTATGAAAACTACTTAAAAAAAAAAAAAAAAAAAAAATTTGTGAATCCAATTTCCAAGTAATGGTCGATCTATAAAATTTTGATTTTTATCATTAATACTGCAATGAAACTTTAAATATAGTGTTTTATTGATTACATCATCTTTGTATTGTGTTTTTACTGCAAGCAATGAAATAAACAATACAAGTTAAGTATGATGTTAAGTATGATGACATCTTCTCCATTTTACATGTCAGATAGCCTTCCATGACAATACTGAAAACCTTTTAGCAACTACATAAAATTACCCATTATCATTTAGTTTAATTTAATCCAAGTTCTCAATTTCTGAAGTAATTTACTCAGTGTGACCAGTTTTCATAAGGATTAAGTGAAAGCTGTAATGTATGTTGTTTGTAAACCTGAATATTCTGCGTTGTTTGTTATGTGTGCCACTCACAATGACAGCTTAAAAGAAAGACCCTTTCTCTTGCTGTTATTTAGTGATACACTGCCTTTTCACATCGCATTCCATTCAAATTGCAAACTCACATTCACAACTGGAGTTAAATATGGGTTCTTTTGTTGTGGTGTTGGAGTTTCAGAACTGCAGGAAACATTGGCATAACCACAATAGAAATGATACGCAAATAGTTATACTGGTTGACAAAATTATAACGGTATATAACCCATCCCTAGGTATCAGTAACAGAAACTGTTTGCTTTTGCGTAAAGATGCATCCACATTGTTAGGTGTCGGTGTAAGTCATCACAACATAAACAAAAAATTACTGAGTGCATTATCTTGAGGAAAACCATGCTACTGTGGGGAAACGCTGACCCCTGTTCTTTCTGAGGTACATAACAAACCTACACTTGAAGAGTTTTCCTCAGCATTACAGTAGTTTCCTCAAAGCAGTTTCAGACTGCCTGTGACATTATTCACCATCTCCTCTTCTCCTATGATGGCAAGCACAGTGCATGAACCTGGCTCCACCTGCACTCACAAAAAGTCCAAAATCATTTTCCAGGCTTTATCACTATTTACACAAAATGTAATCACACAAAATGAATCCCACATCTTTAAAAAGTCTTACTCTCCTTAGATTTTCACATCAAATATGTATTAGAAATTAGCATCTACATCCATAAACCATTAACTTATATAATGTCTAATTTTTTATATGCTATTTTAGGTATATTGTATAGGTATATAAAACCTATAAAACACAGAATAGTACACCATTTGCCATATTATAACAATAACAGCAATGCCATGCTAAAGCATCATTGCATAGATGTGCCTCTAACCTGTGTGTGTCCAGCATCCTGTACCAGCTTTGTAGGAAGACTGAGGC